TGATCTGTGAATCAGTAGTCTGTAGCCGGAGAGTTACAGAAGAGGACTGATTTGTGAATCAGTAGTCTGTAGCCGGAGAGTTACAGAAGAGGACTGATCTGTGAATCAGTAGTGTGTAGCCGGAGAGTTACAGAAGAGGACTGATCTGTGAATCAGTAGTCTGTAGCCAGAGAGTTACAGAAGAGGACTGATCTGTGAATCCGTAGTCCGTAGCCAGAGAGTTACAGAAGAGGACTGATCGGTGAATCCGTAGTCCGTAGCCGGAGAGTTACAGAAGAGGACTGATCTGTGAATCCGTAGTCCGTAGCCGGAGAGTTACAGAAGAGGACTGATCGGTGAATCCGTAGTCCGTAGCCGGAGAGTTACAGAAGAGGACTGATCTGTGAATCCGTAGTCCGTAGCCGGAGAGTTACAGAAGAGGACTGATCGGTGAATCCGTAGTCCGTAGCCGGAGAGTTACAGAAGAGGACTGATCTGTGAATCCGTAGTCCGTAGCCGGAGAGTTACAGAAGAGGACTGATCTGTGAATCCGTAGTCCGTAGCCGGAGAGTTACAGAAGAGGACTGATCTGTGAATCCGTAGTCCGTAGCCGGAGAGTTACAGAAGAGGACTGATCTGTGAATCCGTAGTCCGTAGCCGGAGAGTTACAGAAGAGGACTGATCTGTGAATCCGTAGTCCGTAGCCGGAGAGTTACAGAAGAGGACTGATCTGTGAATCCGTAGTCCGTAGCCGGAGAGTTACAGAAGAGGACTGATCTGTGAATCCGTAGTCCGTAGCCGGAGAGTTACAGAAGAGGACTGATCGGTGAATCCGTAGTCCGTAGCCGGAGAGTTACAGAAGAGGACTGATCTGTGAATCCGTAGTCCGTAGCCAGAGAGTTACAGAAGAGGACTGATCGGTGAATCCGTAGTCCGTAGCCGGAGAGTTACAGAAGAGGACTGATCTGTGAATCTGTAGTCTGTAGCCGGAGAGTTACAGAAGAGGACTGATCTGTGAATCCGTAGTCCGTAGCCGGAGAGTTACAGAAGAGGACTGATCGGTGAATCCGTAGTCCGTAGCCGGAGAGTTACAGAAGAGGACTGATCTGTGAATCCGTAGTCCGTAGCCGGAGAGTTACAGAAGAGGACTGATCTGTGAATCCGTAGTCTGTAGCCGGAGAGTTACAGAAGAGGACTGATCTGTGAATCCGTAGTCTGTAGCCGGAGAGTTACAGAAGAGGACTGATCTGTGAATCCGTAGTCCGTAGCCGGAGAGTTACAGAAGAGGACTGATCTGTGAATCCGTAGTCCGTAGCCGGAGAGTTACAGAAGAGGACTGATCTGTGAATCCGTAGTCCGTAGCCGGAGAGTTACAGAAGAGGACTGATCTGTGAATCCGTAGTCCGTAGCCAGAGAGTTACAGAAGAGGACTGATCGGTGAATCCGTAGTCCGTAGCCGGAGAGTTACAGAAGAGGACTGATCTGTGAATCTGTAGTCTGTAGCCGGAGAGTTACAGAAGAGGACTGATCTGTGAATCCGTAGTCCGTAGCCAGAGAGTTACAGAAGAGGACTGATCGGTGAATCCGTAGTCCGTAGCCGGAGAGTTACAGAAGAGGACTGATCTGTGAATCTGTAGTCTGTAGCCGGAGAGTTACAGAAGAGGACTGATCTGTGAATCCGTAGTCCGTAGCCAGAGAGTTACAGAAGAGGACTGATCTGTGAATCCGTAGTCCGTAGCCGGAGAGTTACAGAAGAGGACTGATCGGTGAATCCGTAGTCCGTAGCCGGAGAGTTACAGAAGAGGACTGATCTGTGAATCCGTAGTCCGTAGCCGGAGAGTTACAGAAGAGGACTGATCTGTGAATCCGTAGTCCGTAGCCGGAGAGTTACAGAAGAGGACTGATCTGTGAATCCGTAGTCCGTAGCCAGAGAGTTACAGAAGAGGACTGATCTGTGAATCCGTAGTCCGTAGCCAGAGAGTTACAGAAGAGGACTGATCGGTGAATCCGTAGTCCGTAGCCGGAGAGTTACAGAAGAGGACTGATCGGTGAATCCGTAGTCCGTAGCCGGAGAGTTACAGAAGAGGACTGATCTGTGAATCCGTAGTCCGTAGCCAGAGAGTTACAGAAGAGGACTGATCTGTGAATCCGTAGTCCGTAGCCAGAGAGTTACAGAAGAGGACTGATCTGTGAATCCGTAGTCCGTAGCCGGAGAGTTACAGAAGAGGACTGATCGGTGAATCCGTAGTCCGTAGCCGGAGAGTTACAGAAGAGGACTGATCGGTGAATCCGTAGTCCGTAGCCGGAGAGTTACAGAAGAGGACTGATCTGTGAATCCGTAGTCCGTAGCCGGAGAGTTACAGAAGAGGACTGATCTGTGAATCTGTAGTCTGTAGCCGGAGAGTTACAGAAGAGGACTGATCGGTGAATCCGTAGTCCGTAGCCGGAGAGTTACAGAAGAGGACTGATCTGTGAATCCGTAGTCCGTAGCCGGAGAGTTACAGAAGAGGACTGATCTGTGAATCCGTAGTCCGTAGCCGGAGAGTTACAGAAGAGGACTGATCTGTGAATCCGTAGTCCGTAGCCGGAGAGTTACAGAAGAGGACTGATCGGTGAATCCGTAGTCCGTAGCCGGAGAGTTACAGAAGAGGACTGATCTGTGAATCCGTAGTCCGTAGCCGGAGAGTTACAGAAGAGGACTGATCTGTGAATCCGTAGTCCGTAGCCGGAGAGTTACAGAAGAGGACTGATCGGTGAATCCGTAGTCCGTAGCCGGAGAGTTACAGAAGAGGACTGATCTGTGAATCCGTAGTCCGTAGCCGGAGAGTTACAGAAGAGGACTGATCTGTGAATCTGTAGTCTGTAGCCGGAGAGTTACTGAAGAGGACTGATCTGTGAATCCGTAGTCCGTAGCCAGAGAGTTACAGAAGAGGACTGATCTGTGAATCAATATATATGTATACACCATCTTCTTGATGATGAGGTTGACCATGTTGATGATGTAGGTAATGTCATCGGTGAAATTGATGATGTTGACCATTGTCATTTTGAGTGTTCTACGCTACTGAACACTCAAACCAAACAACCATCTTCTTGATGATGATGTTGATCATGTTGATGACGTAGATAATGTCACTGGTAATATTGTTGACGACAGTGATAACGTCTTTGACGATGCCGTTATCATCTGTAATTATGCTGATGGTATAGGTAATGTCATTGATGATATTGTTGATGACGACAATGTTGATAACATCATTGATGCTGCTGCTATCATCTTTGATAGTATCCTATCAATTAGTCGTCAACTATCTCACCAATGGCATTACCTACATTATCAACATGATCAGAATCATCACCAACACTATCAAGTATGATAGTAACATCATCAACAATTTTTCCAACATACACTCAAACCAAACAACCATCTTCTTGATGATGATGTTGATCATGTTGATGATGTAGGTAATGTCATCGGTGAAATTGATGATGTTGACCATTGTCATTTTGAGTGTTCTACGCTACTGAACACTCAAACCAAACAACCATCTTCTTGATGATGATGTTGATCATGTTGATGACGTAGATAATGTCACTGGTAATATTGTTGACGACAGTGATAACGTCTTTGACGATGCCGTTATCATCTGTAATTATGCTGATGGTATAGGTAATGTCATTGATGATATTGTTGATGACGACAATGTTGATAACATCATTGATGCTGCTGCTATCATCTTTGATAGTATCCTATCAATTAGTCGTCAACTATCTCACCAATGGCATTACCTACATTATCAACATGATCAGAATCATCACCAACACTATCAAGTATGATAGTAACATCATCAACAATTTTTCCAACATACACTCAAACCAAACAACCATCTTCTTGATGATGATGTTGATCATGTTGATGATGTAGGTAATGTCATCGGTGAAATTGATGATGTTGACCATTGTCATTTTGAGTGTTCTACGCTACTGAACACTCAAACCAAACAACCATCTTGTTGATGATGATGTTGATCATGTTGATGATGTAGGTATAGCAGAGCAATATATTTACCAGGTTTCATTGAGTACCACTTTAGGAGAAGGAAGAAGATTGAGAAACAGCTTGGCAGGGTTCCAGGCATTTATTCATACTCCGGAGTAAGGGTGATCAGCATAACCAAGGGCTGATGCACACCTGATGTCACATTTAGTCCAGCTTTTGTAGCATGGAATTGCTAGTTTTGCACATGCGTAGAACAACTCTGACATTTACACAATACAATCATTAACAGGAATTTTCATATGTAGTTGCCAAGGACATCTTTCTGGCAAGACCATCATGACCCCAAACATCTGCTCAATTATATAACTTTTCAACTTTACCCCTTATCCCCAGACGACATGTTCAATTGTTCTTAATTCTTAGATCTCTTAAATGAACTATAACTTTATATATGTTTTTAACATAAAAGTTGATCAAGGCAATCTCCTTCATTAATTCTGCCGTAATTACTCTGTTAATAACTTAGTTCCCCAGGAATTTACTTTTAAATAAAACGTTTCTGAAATTACCTGCTATTTACATCAAATAGTCAGGAGATGGCGCTCTCTCACCATATGACCTTAGATGTTCCAAGTCTTGGATCGATATATATTGATTTCTATGTGCTACCTGTTCTTTGGTGGTCAACATTCAACTAGAGTAAACATTCGGCTTGTATAAACATGTACCTTTGATCAGTCATCTTGACCTCTCTATCGATCCATCCCATCTGTTGGCTTGTTTTCCCTTAATTTGCAAAATCTTCCTCACGCTGGTCTTCTCAGAATTCAGGTAGGAATCTTTTTATTCTAAATTATGAGTATTATTTTATTTTTCCCCTAACGACTGCCACGTAGGTAATGTCATAATTGAAATTGATGATGTTGTTGACATCATTGACGAATCTGTTATCATCCTATGCTATTGAACACTCATTGTCCATTGACTTTTTTAACGCATGGCTTTTGGAAATCCCCTCTAGGCCATCGTGGTGGAGTTGCAGAGCCTGGCCAGGCGCGACCACAGCTCAATGGACTGCTGCCTTGTGGTCATCCTTTCTCATGGCTGCCAGGTTGGAAAATCACGGCTTTGAGTAATCTCCACCAATGTGCGGACTCCTTACCTGTTCCCACCCCAACACTGGGGACCTTCTAGATGCCCTCATGGTCCCCATATACAACTGTATTATCCATGCATTGATCTGTGGCTTCTGCTTTCCATCTTGTGTCCATTCCAGACAAGCCACATCCAGTTCCCGGGCGGCATTTATGGCACGGACGGCCACCGTCTTTCGGTGGAGAAGATTGTCAGCTTCTTTGATGGGTCCCGTTGCCCCAGCCTCAGGGGGAAACCCAAGATCTTCTTCATCCAGGCATGCGGAGGAGGTACGCACGTGTTTTACGGGCAGCAGCCTTTGTGAACTTTGGCAGAGCATCATTGTGTTCCTCCTATTCATTTGTCGTGTCAGGGCAACCAGTCAATTGTATTACATTTCTAACAGAACAAAACAAACAGACAAACAGACAAAATACAAAATTTGCAAGTTTGGTAGTTGATTAAATGTCCTTTGACCAGTATCTGGCCACTTGGAGTGCCTCTGGTGTTGCCGCAAGAAGGTCCTCCATGGTGCATGTGGCAGGGCTCAGGTTGCATTGCAGCAGGTGGTCAGTGGTTTGCTCTTCTCCACACTCACATGTTGAGGATTCCACTTTGTGGCCCCATTTCTGAAGGTTGGCTCTGCATCTCGTGGTGCCAGAGCGCAGTCTGTTCAGCGCCTTCCAAGTCTGTGTGCCCAGGGGGGAGTCTTTGGTATCAGCCATTGATTGAGGTTCTGGGTTTGAGCCTGCCACTTTTGGACTCTCGCTTGCTGGGGTGTTCCAGCGAGTGTCTCTGTAGATCTTAGAAAACTATTTCTTGATTTAAGTCGTTGACGTGCTGGCTGATACCCAAACAAGGGATGAGCTGGAGATGTCTCTGCCTTGGTCCTTTCACTATTGGCTGCTCCTTCCCGGCGGATGTCAGGTGGTGCGATACCGGCTAAGCAGTGTCATTTCTCCAGTGGTGTAGGGCGCAGACACCCCGTGATAATGCGGCATGTCTCATTAAGAGCCACATCCACTGTTTGAGCGTGGTGAGATGTGTTCCACACTGGGCATGCGTACTCAGCAGCAGAGTAGCATAGCGCAAGGGCAGATGTCTTCACTGTGTCTGGTTGTGATCCCCAGGTTGTGCCAGTCAGCTTTCGTATGATATTGTTTCTAGCGCCCACTTTTTGCTTGGAGCAAGCACGCTCCCCTGAGGCAGGCCGTTCTTCTGTCTTCGCTATCTGCTTCTCTGGCCCTGGAACTCAACAAAAAAGCTCCTGTTTTGTATTATAATATAATATTATATTATATTATAATATAATATATATTATATTATAATAATATATATTGTTGTTTTAGTGTGGTGAGATGTGTTCTACACTGGGCATGCATACTCAGCAGCAGAGTAGCATAGCGCAAGGGCAGATGTCTTCACTGTGTCTGGTTGTGATCCCCAGGTTGTGCCAGTCAGCTTTCGTATGATGTTGTTTCTAGCGCCCACTTTTTGCTTGATGTTCAGGCAGTGCTTCTTGTAGGTCAGAGCATGGTCCAGAGTGACTCCTCCCAGGGATTTGGGTGCGCTGCAATGCTCCAGTGGGATTCCTTCCTTCCCAAGTAATAATCCTCAGAGCTCGGGATGCTTGTCTGTTCTTAAGGTGAAAGGCACATGTCTGTGTTTTAGATGGGTTAGGGATCAGCAGGTTTTCCCTGTCATAGGCAGTGAGAGCACCTAGAGCTTCGGAGAGCTTCTGTTCAGCCATCTCAAAGCTCCCTGCTTGAGTGGTGATGGCACGATCATCAGCATAGATGACGCTCTCTGTCCCTTCTGGCAGCGGCTGGTCATTTGTGTAGATGTTGAACATGGATGGAGCAAGCACGCTCCCCTGAGGCAGGCCGTTCTTCTGTTTCCGCCATCTGCTTCTCTGGCCCTGGAACTCAACAAAGAAGCTCCTGTTCTGTAGCAGGTTTCCTATGAGGCGGGTGAGGTGGTCGTCCTTTGTGAGACTATACATTTTTCTCAGGAGGAGGCGGTGGTTCACAGTATCATATATTGTATTATAATATTACCAAAATATAATAATTATAATAACAAATATTATAATAATATTATAATAATTTTGTGTCTTTCTTTTCCTAGAGGAGAAGGACCGCGGCTTCCAAGTGGATCTGGACCCGTCCTTTAATGATCCGGCAAGTGTTGAATCCGATGCGATGCCTTTTCGAATCCAACCGGGCAATGCTGATGAACCAGACGCTGTTGCAAGCTTGCCGACCCCCAGCGACATGTTGGTGTCTTATTCCACGTTCCCAGGTGAGTATGATCCCTCCCAACAGATGGCCATCCAGCCATAGCTATATGTTTGCTAGATTGATAGGTGTGTATATATATATATATATATATATATATATATATATATATATGACAAGTATATCATAGACTTTAGAAACACCTGTCTCCTGGTTGTTGCTTACTACATCTGCCTGCCACCTCAGGAGGAGAAGGAGGAAATCCTGCTGCTACTCTCTCCCTCCCAAGCTAGCTAAGAGGAGGAAGGGGACTGAGGAAGAGACTTTAAAAACACCAGTCTCCTGGCTGTTGCTTATATACATCTGCCTGCCACCTCAGGAGGAGAAGGAGGAAATCCTGCTTCTCCCCGCCCACCCTCAACAGAGCTGAGAGGAGAAAGGGGACCGTGGAAAATACTTTATATACATCTGTCTGCCACCTCAGGAGGAGAAGGAGGAAATCCTGCTGCTCCCCGCCCACCCTCAACAGAGCTGAGAGGAGAAAGGGGACCGTGGAAAAGACTTTATATACATCTGCCTGCCACCTCAGGAGGAGAAGGAGGAAATCCTGCTGCTCCCCGCCCACCCTCAACAGAGCTGAGAGGAGAAAGGGGACCGTGGAAAAGACTTTATATACATCTGCCTGCCACCTCAGGAGGAGAAGGAGGAAATCCTGCTGCTCCCCGCCCACCCTCAACAGAGCTGAGAGGAGAAAGGGGACTGTGGAAAAGACTTTATATACATCTGCCTGCCACCTCAGGAGGAGAAGGAGGAAATCCTGCTGCTACTTTCCCCTTCCCAAGCCAGCTCAGAGGAGAAAGGAGGACTGAGGAAGAGACTTTAAAAACACCTGTGTCCTGGCTGTTGCTTATTACATCTGCCTGCCACCTCAGGAGGAGAAGGAGGAAATCCTTCTGCTCCTCTCCCTCTCCCACCCTAAGAGGAGGAAGGGGACTGAGGAAGAGACTTTAAAAACTCTTGTCTCCTGGCTGTTGCTTATATACATCTGCTTGCCACCTCAGGAGGAGAAGGAGGAAATCCTTCTGCTCCTCTCCCCCTCCCACCCTAAGAGGAGGAAGGGGACTGAGGAAGAGACTTTAAAAACACCAGTCTCCTGGCTGTTGCTTATATACACCTCAGGAGGAGAAAGAGAAAATCCTGCTGCTACTCTCCCCCTCCCAAGCCTAAGAGGAGGAAGGGGACTGAGGAAGAGACTTTAAAAACACCTGTCTCCTGGCTGTTGCTTACTACATCTGCCTGCCACCTCAGGAGGAGAAAGGGGACTGAGGAAGAGACTTTACGCCCTCAAGCCAGCTAAGAGGACAAAGGGGACTGAGGAAGAGCCTTTAAAAACACCTTCCTCCTGGCTGTTACTTATATACATCTGCCTGCCACCTCAGGAGGAAAAGGAGGAAATCCTGCTGCTATTCTCCCCTTCCCAAGCCAGCTAAGAGGAGGAAGGGGACTGAGGAAGAGTCTTTAAAAACACCTGTCTCCTGGCTGTTGCTTATTACATCTGCCTGCCACCTCAGGAGGAGAAGGAGGAAATCCTTCTGCTCCTCTCCCTCTCCCACCCTAAGAGGAGGAAGGGGACTGAGGAAGAGACTTTAAAAACTCTTGTCTCCTGGCTGTTGCTTATATACATCTGCTTGCCACCTCAGGAGGAGAAGGAGGAAATCCTTCTGCTCCTCTCCCCCTCCCACCCTAAGAGGAGGAAGGGGACTGAGGAAGAGACTTTAAAAACACCAGTCTCCTGGCTGTTGCTTATATACATCTGCCTGCCACCTCAGGAGGAGAAGGAGGAAATCCTTCTGCTCCTCTCCCCCTCCCACCCTAAGAGGAGGAAGGGGACTGAGGAAGAGACTTTAAAAACACTTGTCTCCTGGCTGTTGCTTATATACATCTGACTGCCACCTCAGGAGGAGAAGGAGGAAATCCTGCTGCTACTCTCCCCCTCCCAAGCCAGTTAAGAGGAGGAAGAGGACTGAGGAAGAGACTTTAAAAACACTTGTCTCCTGGCTGTTGCTTATATACATCTGCTTGCCACCTCAGGAGGAGAAGGAGGAAATCCTTCTGCTCCTCTCCCCCTCCCACCCTAAGAGGAGGAAGGGGACTGAGGAAGAGACTTTAAAAACACCAGTCTCCTGGCTGTTGCTTATATACATCTGCCTGCCACCTCAGGAGGAGAAGGAGGAAATCCTGCTGCTATTCTCCCCCTCCCAAGCCATCTAAGAAAAGGAGGGACTGAGGAAGAGTCTTTAAAAACACCAGTCTCCTGGCTGTTGCTTATATACATCTGCCTGCCACCTCAGGAAGAGAAGGAGGAAATCCTGCTGCTATTCTCCCTCTCCCAAGCCAGCGAAGAAGAGGAAGGGGTCTGAGGAAGAGACTTTAAAAACACCTGTCTCCTGGCTGTTGCTTACTACATCTGCCTGCCACCTCAGGAGGAGAAGGAGGAAATCTTGCTGCTACTCTCCCCCTCCCAAGCCAGCTAAGAGGAGGAAGGGGACTGAGGAAGAGTCTTTAAAAACACCTGTCTCCTGGCTGTTGCTTACTACATCTGCCTGCCACCTCAGGAGGAGAAGGAGGAAATCCTGCTGCTACTCCCCCCCCCCCCCCCCTAATGCCAGCTAAGGCTGAGAAAGGCGGTATACAAATATAGTAAATAAATAAATAATAAATATATTTAATTGGAGGGGGTCTATCCTTGTTCTTTCAGGGTTTGTATCCTGGAGGGATAAGTTGACCGGTTCCTGGTACATCGAAAGCCTGGACCAAGTCCTGGAGCAGTTTGCCCGTTCGGAAGACCTGCTCGATATGCTTCTCCGAGTAAGCGCTGCCTCTTTAATATAATGTATTATAATATATCTAACCAACCAGGGACTTTTTGGGGAGTTTTCCTATTAGTCTTTATGGCTCTTGCCGTTTGAGGAAGGAACGTTTTGGGCCCTGAACCACATCCGAGGATATCGTCGTCATTCTGACTTGGATCCCTTTCTTTTGACCCAGGTTGCCAATGCTGTCTCGGCCAAAGGGACCTTCAAGCAAATGCCCGGCTGTTTCAACTTCCTCCGGAAGCGGTTCTTCTTTATGGCCCGATGAACGTGCCTTCCATATTGGATTTCTATCCTGCCATATCGAGGAATAGCGCGAAAGGGTGGCTTTGGTGCCATCTAGTGGCCGCCTTTGGAGCTGCCGTTATCCACTTCCCCGATTTTACTCTTCCAGATTTTCTACGCTTTTTCAAAATGGTCCTTCAGTTTCATTTGCGAACGGGAAGTTGAACTGACCCCATAGTAGAGTTGTACAATACACAATAATACTTTTCATATATCACGACTCTAGTTATGAGATGCATTGTGTTGTCTATTGTTGTGTCAATATTGTATATTATGCTTTTATGGTTTTAAATTGTATATCGTTGATTGATTCTTATCCTTGTTGTAAACCGCGTTGAGTCGCCTGTTGGGCTGAGAAACTGCGGTATACAAGTAAAGTAAATAAATAATATATATAGAATCTACTATAGAGTTATGGCTGGAAGTCTATCAGCAAATTATAGAATCCACCGTTGTGATACAATGCACAGGTCTATCAGCAAATTATAGAATCAAGGAAGATTGTAACATCACGAACACTTCAACTGTTATCAGCACTAGTCCACACCTCCTGCATTCCAGAGTGTCGTATGACGTTGCGTCCATTTGTACTACTACTACTACTAATAATAATAATAATAATCAAAATTGAAAATATGCTGACGTGAGCAAGGTAAAATACAACTAGGATAGGATTTTTCAGAGAGAAATGAGGGAATGCAATCCATCCTAAGTCAGTATTAAAGTGCATTGTGAGGGCATATTGCTGAGAGTTCTCCTTATTCTGGGAACAACCACGTTTTCAGGCTCCTCCTAAAGACTGCCAGTGTTGGGGCATGCCTGATGTCCTTGGGAAGTGAGTTCCAGAGTCGGGGGGGGGGGCCACCACCGAGAAGGCCCTGTCCCTCGTCCCCACCAATCACGACGTGACTTCAAGCCTACCAGCAAATTATAGAATCGACCGCAATCCTTACACTTAAACAGCACCAGCGCTTCCATTTCTGTAGTGATCGCACCTCTTTGGAGGTTTTTTTTTTTACTTGAACCAGGATGGCCATCTATTGGGAGGGCTTTGACTGTGCCTTCCTTCCTGGTTGAACGGGGTTGTTCTTCTCTTTGAGACCTCAATATGTGTCCACCCTTTCAATTCATGTTAATAATACCAAATTGCTGTAAGAGTTGCCCGTTCTGGGCCCATAACCCTTCTATTTACTTGGGTTTAATTATCCATTAGAAAAACTACGGTGAGGTGGATCTGGAATTGGTTAAACGGACGAACCCAGAGGGTGATTCTCCCCAAGGCTTCCTCCTCTTCATCCTGGAAAGAAGGGACGAGTGGAGTGCCATCCGCAGGGTTCCGTCCGGGCCCGGTCCTGCTCAGGATCTCCATTCATGACTTAGATGAAGGGTTGGAAGGCATGATCATCAAGTTTGCAGACAGGACCAAATTGGGGAGGAGAGCCAATGCTCCAGAGGACAGGAGCAGGATTCAAAACGATCTTGACAGATGAGAGAGATGAGGGGCCAAAACTAACAAAATGAAGTTCAACGGGCACAAATGCAAGATACTCCACTTAGGCAGAAAAAACAAAATGCAAAGATACAGAATGGGGGACGGCGAGGCCTGGCTTGAGAGCAGGACGTGTGAAAAAGGTCGCGGGGTCCTCAAGGACAACAAGTTAAACATGAGCCAGGAATGTGATGTGGCGGCAAAAAAAGCCAATGGGATTTTGGCCTCTATAGTGTCTAGAATCCAGGGAAGTCCTGCTCCCCATGCTCTATTCCGCCTTGGTTAGACCACACCTGGAATATTGTGTCCAATTCTGGGCACCACAATTCAAGAGAGATATTGACAAGCTGGAATGTGTCCAGAGGAGGGTGACTAAAATGATAAAGGGTCTGGAGAACAAGCCCTATGAAGAGCGGCTTAAGGAGCTGGGCATGTTTAGCCTGAAGAAGAGAAGGCTGAGAGGAGATATGATAGCCATGTATAAATATGTGAGAGGAAGCCAATGGAATGTGTCCAGAGGAGGGCGACTAAAATGATCAAGGGTCTGGAGAACAAGCCCTATGAGGAGCGGCTTAGGGAACTGGGCATGTTTAGCCTGATGAAGAGAAGGCTGAGAGGAGATATGATAGCCATGTACAAATATGTGAGAGGAAGCCACAGGGAGGAGGGACAGATCAAGTGTCTGGAGAACAAGCCCTATGAGGAGCGGCTTAAGGAGCTGGGCATGTTTAGCCTGAAGAAGAGAAGGCTGAGAGGAGATATGATAGACATGGATAAATATGTGAGAGGACACAGGGAGGAGGAGGGAACAGATCAAGGGTCTGGAGAACAAGCCCTATGAGGAGCGGCTTAAGGAGCTGGGCATGTTTAGCCTGAAGAAGAGAAGGCTGAGAGGAGATATGATAGCCATGTATAAATATGTGAGAGGAAGCCACAGGGAGGAGAAGAGAAGATCAAGGGTCTGGAGAACAAGCCCTATGAGGAGCGGCTTAAGGAGCTGGGCATGTTATCCTGAAGAAGAGAAGACTGAGAGGAGATAGAGCCATGTATCAATATGTGAGAGGAAGACACAGGGAGGAGGAGGGAACAGATCAAGGGTCTGGAGAACAAGCCCCATGAGGAGCGGCTTAAGGAGCTGGGCATGTTTAGCCTGAAGAAGAGAAGGCTGAGAGGAGATGATGAGCCATGTATCAATATGTGAGAGGAAGACACAGGGAGGAGGAGGGAACAGATCAAGGGTCTGGAGAACAAGCCCCATGAGGAGCGGCTTAAGGAGCTGGGCATGTTTAGCCTGAAGAAGAGAAGGCTGAGAGGAGATATGATAGCCATGTATAAATATGTGAGAGGAAGCCACAGGAGAGGAGGGCAACTAAAATGATCAAGGGTTTGGAGAACAAGCCCTATGAGGAGCGACTTAAGGAGCTGGTCATGTTTAGCCTGCAGAAGAGAAGGCTGAGAGGAGACATGTTAGCCATGCATAAATCTGTGAGGGGAAGACATTGGAGAAGGAAATTTGCATAGGTCTGGAGAACAAGCCCTATGAGGAGCGGCTTAAGGAGCTGGGCATGTTTAGCCTGAAGAAGAGAAGGCTGAGAGGAGACATGATAGCCATGTATAAATATGTGAGAGGAAGACACAGGGAGGAGGAGGGAGCAAGCTTGTTTTCTGCTTCCTTGGAGACTAGGACGCAATGGAACTACAAGAGAGGAGATTCCACCTGAACATGAGGAAGAACTTCCTGACTGTGAGAGCCGTTCAGCAGTGGAACTCTCTGCCCCGGAGTGTGGTGGAGGCTCCTTCTTTGGAAGCTTTTAAGCAGAGGCTGGATGGCCATCTGTCAGGGGTGATTTGAATGCAATATTCCTGCTTCTTGGCAGAAGGGGGTTGGACTGGATGGCCCAGGAGGTCTCTTCCAACTCTAGGATTCTAGGATTCTATGAGCCGCCCCGAGTCCCCTTGGGGAGAGGGGGCTGGGATATCAATAAAGAATTATTATTGTTGTTATTACTAGCTGTCCCCTGCCAGGTGTTGCTGTGGCCCAGTCTGTTGATCTGGAAAATAAAGTAATGAGGAAGTGTTGGCTTCTAATATATATAATTTCTTTACTGTTGGGTAAACAGTATTACTTGTTGTTTCTTTGCCGGTGATGTAGAGATTGCCTGGTAGGCCCACTCTGGAACGCACAACATATCATTGTCCTCCTTTAGGGAACCCTTTCAAATCTATGATACTATATCTCTCTGTGTTTGAATAATATCTATGGCTTGATGGCTCTCTGTCAGGAGGGCTCTGATTGCGTTTTCTTGCCCCAGTGAAGGAAGTTGGACTGGATGTTGGTCATGGGGGTTCTGTGTGGGAAGTTTGCCCCAATTCTGTCGTTGGTGGGGTTCAGAACTCTCTTTGATTGTAGGTGAACTATAAATCCCAGTAACTACAACTCCCAATTGTCAAGGTCTATTTCCTCCAAACTCCATCTGTGTTCATATTTGGGCATATGGAATATTCATGTCAAGTTTGGTCCAGATCCATCATTGTTTGAGTCCACAGGTGATCTCTGGATGTAGGTGAACTACAACTCCAAAACCAAAGGACACCGCCCACCAAACCCTTCCAGTATTTTCTGTTGGTCATGGGAGAACTGTGTGCCAAGTTTGGTTCAATTCCATCATTGGTGGAGTTCAGAATGCTTATTTGATTGTAGGTGAACTATAAATCCCAGCAACTACAACTCCCAAATGTCAAGATTCTATTTTTTCCCAAACTCCACCAGTGTTCACATTTGGGTATATTGAGTCTTTGTGTAGCGTTTGGTCCAGATTCATCACTGTTTGAGTCCAGAGTGCTCTCTGGATGTAGGTGAACTACAACTCCAAACCAAAGGACACTGCCCACCAAACCCTTCCAGTATTTTCTGTTGGTCATGGGAGTTCTGTGTGCCAAGTTTGGTTCAATTCCATTGTTGGTGGGGTTCAGAATGCTCTTTGATTGTAGGTGAACTATAAATCCCAGCAACTACAACTCCCAAATGTCAAGATTCTATTTTTTCCCAAACTCCACCAGTGTTCACATTTGGGTATATTGAGTCTTTGTGTAGCGTTTGGTCCAGATTCATCACTGTTTGAGTCCAGAGTGCTCTCTGGATGTAGGTGAACTACAACTCCCAAACCAAAGGACACTGCCCACCAAACCCTTCCAGTATTTTCTGTTGGTCATGGGAGTTCTGTGTGTGAAGTTTGGTTCAATTCCATCGCTGGTGGAGTTCAGAATGCTCTTTGATTGTAGGTGAACTATAAATCCCAGCAACTACAACTCCCAGATGACAAAATCATAATTTTTTGAGTGATGGTCACTCCTTGTGTTGTGAGATGTTTTGTTGCCAAATTTGGTGTGATTTCGTTCCTTGGTTCTTTTGTTCTTAAGGTACGAATGACGCCCAGAGCATTTTTATATATATAGATATAAATCCCAGCAACTACAACTCCCAGATGACAAAATCATAATTTTTTGAGTGACGGTCACTCCTTGTGTTGTGGGGCATTTTGTTGCCAAATGTGGTGTGATTTCGTTCATTGGTTCTTTCGTTTTTAAAGCACTCACGACGCCCATAACGTTTTTATATATATAGATTGCGCACAGAGCATTTTTATATATATATAGATACTAGCTGTGCCCTGCCACGCGTTGCTGTGGCCTATAGTAAATCTTTTCAAAGTAGAGCTAGATATCTGGAGTGTTATGAAAGAGAGGTCCCTACCTATTCCTTCCCCCTTTTTCTCCCCCTTTCTCTCCTTTCTTCCTTCTCTACCTCTTTCTTTCTTTCTTTCCTTCTTTCGCTCCTTGGTTTCATCCTTCTCTCTTTCCTTCATTCCCTCCCCCTTTCTTCCTTTGCCTCCTTTCTTCCCTCCATGTTTCCTTCCTTCTTTCATTTTTTTATTTCCTTTTCTCCTTCCTTCTTTACCTCTTTCCTGCCTTTCCTTCCTTTTATTTTTCTTTCCTTTCTACTTTCTCTTCTTCCTTCCTTCGGTACCTCTTTCCTGCCTTCCCTCCTTCCTTTCTTCCTTCCCAATGCTTACCAAACCCTTCTCATGGGAGTCCTGTGTGCCACGTTTGGTTTAATTCCGTCATTGGTGGAGTTCAGAATGCTTTGATTATAGGTAAACTATAAATCCCAGCAGCTTCAACGGAGGGGGGTGGGAGGAGGAGGAGGAGTGCGGGGCGTCGGTGGGTGTGGGCGGGGCTTCGGCGGAGGGGGGTGGGAGGAGGAGGAGTGCAGGGGCGGGGCGTCGGTGGGTGTGGGCGGGGCTTCGGCGGAGGGGGGTGGGAGGAGGAGGAGTGCAGGGGCGGAGGGGGGGTGGGAGGAGGAGGAGTGCATGGGCGGGGCCTCGGTGGGTGTGGGCGGGGCTTCGGCGGAGGGGGGTGGGAGGAGGAGTGCAGGGGCGGGGTCGGTGGGTGTGGGCGGGGCTTCGGCGGAGGGGGGTGGGAGGAGGAGGAGTGCAGGGGCGGGGCGTCGGTGGGTGTGGGCGGGGCTTCGGCGGAGGGGGGTGGGAGGAGGAGGAGTGCAGGGGCGGGGCGTCGGTGGGTGTGGGCGGGGCTTCGGCGGAGGGGGGGGGGAGGAGGGCAGCGGGGCGTCGGTGGGTGTGGGCGGGGCTTTGGCGGAGGGGGGTGGGAGGAGGAGGAGTGCAGGGGCGGGGCGTCGGTGGGTGTGGGCGGGGCTTCGGCGGAGGGGGGTGGGAGGAGGAGGAGTGCAGGGGCGGGGCGTCGGTGGGTGTGGGCGGGGCTTCGGCGGAGGGGGGTGGGAGGAGGAGGAGTGCAGGGGCGGGGCGTCGGTGGGTGTGGGGGGGGCGGGGGGGGGGAGGTGCGGAGGGTGCATTGGCCATTAGGCCATGTGTGCGCGCCGGGGACTTTGCGCCATTGCGCATGCTCAGTTGTTTTGCCCTTTTGTGAGTGTGTTGTTGTGTTGTGTTTTATTTTGATTCGATTTGTTTGTACCTTGTGGGTTGAGGTATGTGCATGGGAATTTTGGTTAATTTTCGTTGGGGTTTTTTTGAGTTTTGCTGTCCCGTTGGACGCCCCTTACAGATTTATATATATAGATTGTTAATCATCCATGATGACTGAGGTTTTTTGGGTGGGTGCGCTTGTGTTTCCATTCCAAATGAGACAATAAAAGCCCAACGAAACCTACAAATCCCAAACATACTCCCTGAGAAGGTGGGGAAGGATTGCATTATTATTAACATGTTTATTACAGGGTTTGTTCCATTCCCGCCGCTGATTGGATGGGATTTCCTGGTCGGTTTCTGCACGTGTCGCTTCAATACGACGCCATCACCTGCATCGGGGAAACAAAGGTGAGGATTGACACTATATTCCTCTCGATGGAACGTATCTCGAGGAGGAACGACCCCAGAGCCTGCCATCGCTCACCTTGTCGATCCAGTCGTTGAAAGCAGAGACCCGAGTGAAGACGGAGGGCTTGCGGTAATAGTTGCAGCCAAGTGCGGACCCAAAGCTGACCACGCCGTGGACTTCCCACTTCCCGCTGGAGGTCTGGCAATTAAGGGGACCCCCGGAATCACCCTGCAAAAAGGAATAGTGGTTAGAGCAGTGGTTCTCAACTTTTCTAATGCGGTGACCCCCAAATAAAGTTCCTCGTGTTGTGGTGAGTGTTGTGAAGGAGCGTGTGGTTGAAGCTTACTGCCACCTAATCTGTGAGGGAAGCTGGGCAACGATCAATATCAGCTTAAGAGCTATTTTATAAAGGGACTATTAATTACAGAAGGCTTTATTCATTTGATAGCGTAGCATTTACTGTCCCTGGCTTGACTTTACTTATGCAGGCTGTTCAACTTAGGAGAAACTGTATCAGGCAAGGCTTGAGGAAAACAGTAACAAGTTTATTTTAACAGGAGTATAACATGTTTAACTGTTTCTTCACAAGAGGCACAAATCTTGATTGGTTACATTAGTAATGTTTCATGAGTAATCTCAGGCACAGTCTTCAAGAAGTTTCTATAAGCAGATGTAACCCTTCTGGACAACTGTCCTAATATAACAAATAAGCTAAAAGGCTTATTTAACAGAATTCCCTATAGCACACTGGCTACAGACACATTCTCTGAATCTCCACCCAGAGACTCAGTCTTCCCTATAGCACACCGGCTACAGACACATTCCCTGAATCTCCACCCAGAGACTCAGTCTTCCCTATAGCACACCGGCTACAGACACATTCCCTGAATCTCCACCCAGAGACTCAGTCTTCCCTATAGCACACCGGCTACAGACACATTCCCTGAATCTCCACCCAGAGACTCAGTCTTCCCTATAGCACACCGGCTACAGACACATTCCCTGAATCTCCACCCAGAGACTCAGTCTTCCCTATAGCACACCGGCTACAGACACATTCCCTGAATCTCCACCCAGAGACTCAGTCTTCCCTATAGCACACCGGCTACAGACACATTCCCTGAATCTCCACCCAGAGACTCAGTCTTCCCTATAGCACACCGGCTACAGACACATTCCCTGAATCTCCACCCAGAGACTCAGTCTTCCCTATAGCACACCGGCTACAGACACATTCTCTGAATCTCCACCCAGAGACTCAGTCTTCCCTATAGCACACCGGCTACAGACACATTCCCTGAATCTCCACCCAGAGACTCAGTCTTCCCTATAGCACACCGGCTACAGACACATTCCCTGAATCTCCACCCAGAGACTCAGTCTTCCCTATAGCACACCGGCTACAGACACATTCCCTGAATCTCCACCCAGAGACTCAGTCTTCCCTATAGCACACCGGCTACAGACACATTCCCTGAATCTCCACCCAGAGACTCAGTCTTCCCTATAGCACACCGGCTACAGACACATTCCCTGAATCTCCACCCAGAGACTCAGTCTTCCCTATAGCACACCGGCTACAGACACATTCCCTGAATCTCCACCCAGAGACTCAGTCTACCCAGTAGCTCACCGGCTTACTGACTGACTTTCAAAAACAGCTGCCCCATGAAGAGGCAGTTGGCTCCGCCCCTGTTGCTATGGCAACTCAGCCAACGCCAAGCCACCATCTCCAACAAAACACAATCCTACATACTTACCATCCTTAAACCACTATTTAAATTACACATAACCAAAGGAATAAAATTTACACATCGTCACAGGTGTCATCTGCGTAGAGATGACACCTGTACTCCAAAACTCCGGATGACCTCTCCCAGCAGTTTCATGTAGATGTTAAATAGCATGGGGGACAGAATAGAACCTTGCAGGACCCCACAGGTCAATGGCCAGGGGTCTGAGCAGGAGTCCCCCAGCTTCACCATCTGGGATCAGCCCTCCAGGAAGTAAAACCGTGCCCTCGAGTCCGATCTCAGAGAGCCTTCCCAGAAGGATACCATAGTCGATGGTATCGAAAGCCGCTGAGATATCCAAGAGAATGAGCAGGGTCACACTCCCCCTGTCAAGCTCTCTTCGGAAGTCATCCACCAAGGCGACCAAAGCCGTCTCGATACTGTGCCCAGGCCTAAAGCCAGACTGCGAGCGATCCAGAAAATCGGTGTCTTTGTTTGCCTGCATTTGAAGATGTAGAAAAGGAAAAGTCAACGCCTTTATCCTTACTCTGGTTCGCTTTTGGATGAGATTCTGAAGGAGGCATAAGCCTAAGAAATATTAAAAATTAAAAGCTTTAACCGAAATGTTAGTATAGAGGTCATACAAAGTTCAAGGTTTTGGTTTTTGGAAAAGTCGTTATATTAGTGAGCTTGCATAGGAAGTTGGTTTGTGGTTAAGCGCAAAGTTTGCCGGTGCAAGAAGGTCCTTTCCATCAAGAGGTTGATGGGACAGGAAGAGTAAAGGTCAAAGTACTTTCCATGACAAAAATATTCTTGTTTACCTGAGGGTATATAAAAGTTTGGATGAGATTCTGAAGGAGGCATAAGCCTAAGAAATATTAAAAATTAAAATCTTGAACCGAAATGTTAGTATAGAGGTCATACAAAGTTCAAGTTGTTATATTAGCGAGCTTGCATAGGAAGTTGGTTTGCGGTTAAGTGCAAAGTTTGCCGGTGCAAGAAGGTCCTTTCCATCAAGAGGTTGATGGGACAGGAAGAGTAAAGGTCAAAGTACTTTCCATGACAAAAATATTCTTGTTTACCTGAGGGTATATAAAAGTTTGGATGAGATTCTGAAGGAGGCATAAGCCTAAGAAATATTAAAAATTAAAAGCTTGAACCGAAATCATACAAAGGTCATACAAAGTTCAAGGTTTTGGCTAGCTTACATAGGAAGTTGGTTTGTGGTTAAGCGCAAAGTCTGCAGGTGCGAGAAGGTACTTTCCATCAAGAGGTTGATGGGACAGGAAGAGTAAAGGTCAAAGTACTTTCCATGACAAAAATATTCTTGTCTGTGCACTTTCATTTCAGGCGTTTGAATGAAAGCCGGAGCTCTAGTGGGCTTATTGAACCAATGAGCTACTATACAAAATCAGGCTGTGATATGAACTCTCTGCTAACAGTGACCAAGACTCTGCAGTATTTTGGGGTGTTGTGTCTGTTAAATCTCTGCTCTAACCAAGACTCTGTGAGGATGTGAGAGGATTGAATTCACGTGCCTACCTAGCAGAGGTGTTGCGTGTGTTTTACTCTCTTTTCCACCCCCAAAAACAACCTAGAGATCCCTACAGAGAATAATACAGAGTCAACCTGGAGGACCTAGAGTTTCTATGGTGAGCTACTATACAAGGTCAGAGGCTGTGGTATGAAATCTCTGCTAACAGTGACCAAGACTCTGCAGTGTTTCTAATTGCTGGCCTTGAAGACAGTCTGTCACATTGAGCAACTGGACGAGAAGGCCGAGACAGGATGGAATTCATATAGCAATGACTGAAGAATGGACCTCCAAAGGAGTTTGGATGAAAGCCAAAGCTCTAGAGTGCTTATTCAACCAATGAATAAGTCAGAGGCTGTGATATGAAATCTCTGCTAACAGTGACCAAGACTCTGCAGTGTTTCCAGGATCGGAACTAATCGCTTGCCTTGAAGACAGTCTGTCGGATTGAGCAGCTGAACGAGAAAGCCGAGACAGGATCGAATTCATATAGCAATGACTGAAGAATCGACCTCCCAAGGAGTTTGGATGAAAGTCAAAGCTCTAGTGTGCTTATTTAACAGAAGCTGTGATATGAACTCTCTGCTAACAGTGACCAAGACTCTGCAGTGATTCCGGAATTGGAACTAATCGCTTGCCTTGAAGACAGTCTGTCGCATTGAGCAGCTTGACGAGAGTGGAAATCAGCCTGTTTGATCAAGAAAAAATTTGTTTCTAAAATCGATTGTAATTGGGGTGTTTTTTTGTTTCGATATTTAAAATATTTACAAAACTTTCCAAAAAAAAGTTTTGTTATTTACGAAATTTTGTAAATATTAACGAATTTTTAGAATATTTTTTGTATTTTTTAAGAATAATATTAAAATAATATTAAAAAATATTTTAAAATGGAAAATTAACCAAAAAATGGCCCAAATGTGGACCAAACACAGGCAGGAGACAGCAAATGAGAGCACACACCAACAGAAGAGTCTTTTCTTTTTTAGAATATTTTTTAAGAATAATATTAAAATAATATTAAAAAATAATATTAAAAAATAATATTAAAAATATTTTAAAATGGAAAATTAACCAAAAAATGGCCCAAATGTGGACCAAACACAGGCAGGAGACAGCAAATGAGAGCACACACCAACAGAAGAGTCTTTTCTTTTTTAGAATATTTTTAAGAATAATATTAAAATAATATTAAAAAATAATATTAAAATAATATTAAAAAATATTTTAAAAATGGAAAATTAACCAAAAAATGGCCCAAATGTGGACCAAACACAGGCAGGAGACAGCAAATGAGAGCACACACCAACAGAAGAGTCTTTTCTTTTTTAGAATATTTTTTAAAAATAATATTAAAATAATATTAAAAATAATATTAAAAATAATATTAAAAAATATTTAAAAATGGAAAATTAACCAAAAAATGGCCCAAATGTGGACCAAACACAGGCAGGAGACAGCAAATGAAGCAAGCAGCACTCACAGCAGCAAGGAATGAATCCAATCCAGTTGCTAGCCATTAGCCAAGCCAAGCCAATGCAAACTCCCTCGCCCTCTGCAGCAATGAGCTACGGCCGCGCCGCGCGGAGCCGCTTTGAAAGGGCTCGCCGGCCAATCAAAAACAGCCACGGTGCACTGCTTGGGAGCGCTGGATTGGCTCCCAGGCACCAGCAGCCTCCACCCCATTAACGAAACGAGCGGAAGCTCGTTAAATCTATGGGGGCTGCCGGTTCGATATTTTAAAACCCTTCCGGGTTTGGAAAACTGTTTTGATATCGCTTCAAAAATGCCAAAAATAACGAATTAATAACGAATTAACGAATTAACGAACGAAACCGGACAGGCCTACTAGATATCTTGAATTCAGATAGCAATGACTGAAGAATGGACCTCCAAAGGAGTTTGGATGGATAATTCTCATTATCTTGTTGTATGCGGATGATATGGTCCTCCTGTCAACTACGCAAATAGGTCTCAGGAGACTTTTGAGGTCACTAAGCAGAATTTGCAAACAAGAGAAGTTGAGGATCAAAGGAGTTTGGATGAAAGCCAGAGCTCAAGTGTGCTTATTTAACAGAAGCTGTGATATGAACTCTCTGCTAACAGTGACCAAGACTCTGCAGTGATTCCGGGATCGGAACTAATCGCTTGCCTTGAAGACAGTCTGTCGCATTGAGCAGCTGGACGAGAAGGCCGAGACGGAATCGAATTCATATAGCAGTGACTGAAGAATGAAAGCCAGAGCTCTAGTGTGCTTATTTAACAGAAGCTGTGAAATGAACTCTCTGCTAACAGTGACCAAGACTCTGCAGTGATTCCGGAATCGGAACTAATCGCTTGCCTTGAAGACAGTCTGTCGCATTGAGCAACTGGACGAGAAGGCCGAGATGGGATCGAATTCATATAGCAATGACTGAAAAATGAAAGCCAAAGCTCTAGTGTGCTTATTTAACAGAAGCTGTGAAATGAACTCTCTGCTAACAGTGACCAAGACTCTGCAGTGATTCCGGAATCGGAACTAATCGCTTGCCTTGAAGACAATCTGTCACATTGAGTAGCTGGACGAGAAGGCCGAGACAGGATTGAATTCATATAGCAATGACTGAAGAATGAAAGCCAGAGCTCAAGTGTGCTTATTTAACAGAAGCTGTGAAATGAACTCTCTGCTAACAGTGACCAAGACTCTGCAGTGATTCCGGGATCGGAACTAATCGCTTGCCTTGAAGACAGCTGGAGGAGGATGTGAGAGGATTGAATTCACGTGCCTACCTAGCAAGGGTGTTGTGTGTGTTTTACTCCCTCTTCACAACCTTCTAACAACCTAGAGAGCCCTACAAAGAACGACACAGAGTCAACCCGGAGGACCTAGAGATCCCAAGATAAGTCAACACAGAGGCATCAGGACGGGACTCACATTGCAGCTGGAGATCTTTCCGTCTCTTCCGGCGCAGACCATGTTGTCCTTGACGGTGCTGCCCCACCAGCTGGACTGCGTGCAAGTGGCGTGGCCCACCACCAAGAGGCGGCCCTGCTGCAGGATGTCCGGCAAGGCGCCGTTCGCTGCAAGAACCCAAAGCCGTCAAGAGTTGAGAGCCCACCACCCATGCCTCCCGACCGAGACCCCTCAAGGCTCCGGGGATCGAGGAGACTCACTCTGCAGCCGGCCCCATCCGGTCACGTAGCAGACCGTGTTTTGAGCCAAAATGCTGTTGGCTTTTGGGAGGCAGGCCGGCTGGATCTTGTCGCTCAGAGTGACCGCTTTGGAGAGCTTGATGAGGGCGATATCATTCCTGTTTGGGAGAGAGAAGGCTCGTTGGATAGGTGGATATATAGGCACAGAGAAAAAAATGCTAGTCTATTTACCCATCCGTCCGTCCATCCGATTACCTACGAGTGTATCTATCTGTCTATCCATCCACCGACCTCCCGATCTATCAATCCATCCATCCACTGACCTATCTGCCTGCCTGCCTGCCTATATATCTATTTTGTCTGCCTATCTATCTATCTATCTATCTATCTATCTATCTATCTATCTATCCATTCATCCATTTACCTATGAGTGTATCTATCAATCGATCCACTGACCTATCTGTCTGCCTGCCTATATATCTATTTTGTCTGTCTGTCTGTCTATCTATCTATCTATCTATCTATCTATCTATCTATCCATTCACCCATCCATCCATCCATTTACCTATGAGTGTATCTATCTATCAATCCATCCACTGACCTATCTGTCTGCCTGCCTATATATCTATTTTGTCTTCCTATCTATCTATCTATCTATCTATCTATCTATCCATCCATCCATCCATTTACCTACGAGTGTATCTGTCTATCCATCCACCAACCTCCTGATCTATCTATCAGTCCATCCACTGACCTACCTGTCTGTCTATATATCTGTCTACCCACCCACTGACCTGCCGATCAATCTAGCAATCCATCCACTGACCTATATGTCCATTCATTTACCTACGAGTGTATCTATCTCTCTATCCATCCACCGACCTCCCGATCTATCTATCAATCCATCCACTGACCTATCTGTCTGTCTATATATCTATATATCTATCTTGTCTGTCCATCTATCTATCCATCCATCCATTTACCTATGGGTGTATCTATCAATCCATCCACTGACCTATATGCCTGCCTGCCTATATATCTATTTTGTCTATCTATCTTGTCTGTCCATCTATCTATCCATCCATCCATTTACCTATGGGTGTATCTATCAATCCATCCACTGACCTATATGCCTATCTGCCTATATATTTTGTCTGCCTATCTATGTATGTATGTATGTATGTATGTATGTATGTATGTATGTATCTATCTATCTATCCATCCATCTATCCATCCATCCATTTACCTATGAGTG